ATTTTATTTTTAAAATATTCTTAAATTTTAAATTCATAAATATTTAAAAAACTTTTAAATCTAATTATTAAGAAGAGATTTATATTAAAAAAAAAGTAAAATAAAATAATTTTAAAAAATGAATTAAAAAAAAATAAAAATTATTTATATACATTTTAAAATTAAAAATTAAGTTTATAAATTAATTACTTTTGAAAAAAAATAAATAAAAATTGAATTGTAAATTTGAAAAGTTGATTTTTAAAATTTAAATTTTAATATATTTTTCAATTATTAAAGAAATTATATATAATTTTTTTTATTTTTTTAATTTGAAAAGTATAAAATCACTCTTGGCTTTATCTTATGACAAGATGATAAACTGGTTAATTGTAACAAGGACGATTGAAGTGAACAATGTGAAGACAGATCGAACTGACAGTTACAATTAATTACTTTGGCATTCGACTTTACCGAGTTGAATTTAATTACTAAAGAACTTTTCTAAGTTAACTTAAGTTCTGTTTCCATTAAGAATCTGTTTGTAAATCAGTAAATTTATTCACTAACAAAAATCATTGTAATCTTAACAAATACCTATTGAAACCTTAACAAAATAATAACTACTAATTAGTGCTTAATGTCATTAATAACAGAAAATCTTTGTTAGATCAATAAATAATTTAAAGTACGGATTTTTGTATCCGTTCTAAAATGAAATAGGGACGTAGTACAGGAAAAGATTATTTATCAGAATATAATGCCATCATTATATAATTCCTCGTAATACTCTATTATATATAGAATTGTAGAATATGAAGTCAATTGCATTTAAGATTTATCGAGAATAATGGAAGTCCATTTAGGGGAATCAAATAGATATAGTCCTACTGTATCACGAATCATTAAGTTAATAGGAATTTCTGAAAAATAAATTGGTAAATACAATATTCTTGGCTAAAAATATAAAATTTTAGAGTTAAAAACATATTTTTGATGTTTTTTTGAAGAAGAATTCGTTCAACTATTTGTAAAAAAAAAAAATGAACTCCGTTAACGAGTTGTTCTTACTCCGCTGACTAAATTATGAATGGTATGTCTTTAAATATGTTTATTATAATTAATATATCGTAAAGGATATTTTAAAATCTCACGAAGCATTACAAAAGTATACATATTACTCCATTTTATGATAATTTTTTCCAAGAGACATCATAAAAAGACATCATGATTTAACGAGAAATCTTATTAACTGTAACAGAGATAAGACATTATCATGACAAATTATTCACTAGAGAATTTAATGTTGTTTTTACTATTATTATTATTATTTATTTATTTATTTTTTAAATCAGTGTGTCGAGATTTAAATTAGAATTTACATGTCATTTTCTCGTAATGCTGATATATGGCAATGAGAAATCAAATTCACACGAGCGTGGCAAAACTTGTTTTATACTCGTAAATTGAATTAGAATCAATTTAAAATTAGGAAAAACAGAATTTCAGACGTAGTAACGAAGGAAGAAACGTAGGCGTGTGACACATACTTTTCTCCATCTCTAAAATATTCAAGTACTTTTCTTATTCTTCTAAGCTAATAATAATACTGTCACTTTTCCACCATTCCAAACTGGGTGTGTTCGATATGCTACATATAATCTATTAGTGAAAATTTGTGTATTAATAATTTGTAACGCTTAGAAAAAAACTTCATAAATTCGCCTCCATTTTTTATTAACAAGCAAACTTGTATAAGGAGTGTTTATAATGGAAAATAACATTTTATATAATGTATTTTTCTTTGTAAATACACATTTTCTTTTTCTTCTTAGTAAACACATGTTTAAATATAACTTATTATTTACTAAAGTGAATAGATGTGACATTTATGTGCAATAACCGGGATTGACGGAATGTAATTTTCGTTTTATTGTTCATAGTTGTACAGTACTGTATATAGACTAAGCTACGAATTCGTGCCATATGTTGATGTAAATATATTCGCTGAAAAGATCTCTCATTGTAGTTCTTACTAACATCTTTTAAAATCGATAAGCTTAAGATTTGTTTGGCATTTCTCCAAAGAACCTATTTTCTTTCTCTATACAGTTTACTTATTCAACTCGCCATAGTGTGGGAATCTGTACTATGCTTTCAGGAGGAATACGAATTTTATTTTTACTAAACGCAAAATTTAGAAATATATAATATTTTTTTTTAAAAGGGGAGGATAAATAGTTACTAAATTAAATTTCTAATAACATTTCCTAAAAGAAATTTACAGTAATAAAATTATCACGTGTTTAGATAGACGTGCTATAATTTTTGTTAAGTGAGGAATTGGATTAAATTTTTTTTAAAAGTATTTTAAAATAAATTTTAAATAAAATTATAAAGATGCCCGCGTAAGAAACATGTTTAAGTGCCAGACAGCGTGTTGGAAGTGGTAATCAATCAGTAACTTAAACGAGTATCACCTTTATGCGAACAGAATACTGCGGAACAGCTAACTAAAGATCGATCGATCTTAGCGCAGTCGCATCGCGATTCCTGTGCCATTAATCACCCAAAATCGATTTATGTATGGAACCGTGACATTCACCCGCTCTAATCATCCATCCGGATACGATTTGATACATTGGTAGAAGTGATTTTTACAGACATTATAACAATTATTATTTTTTTCTTAAATTATTTATTATAATATCTTGATTTTCTTTGTCATATGTATATATATATGTATATATATATATACCCTGTACTT